TTGATAATAACCAGTATGATCGCCCTTGCAAAAAATCCAAAAGCGAAAAAAAGAAAAGGCTGGTTTCTACTCAAATCTGGATAAATTTCTTCTTCTCACGGCTGTTAAATTTTGAAAAACCGAAAAACCGATATTTTGAAATGCTAATGAACAGTAAGAGTGTATGAGAGTGTAAAGTTTTGAAAAAACTCTGCTTCTAGTCTTTTCTACCCGTTACAGGTTGCTAGTGAAATATTTTATTTCAAAAAACCTTTCTGTTCTATTTTCCTTCCTCAAAAGTCCAAAAGTAATCCGTTCCCTATCACACATCTATTCCATTCCTCATTCACATCATCCACTATGACGGAAGTTAACTCCCAAAATTGAGGTCAACTCACCAAGTGTTTCACCGAGCTCAGCAAAACCTAGCTTATCTCTTTTTCTGCCTATAATGAAATCTAAAGCAAGCGCTCAAGAGAATTTGAGCGCGACTAATCAACAGGAAGGATACATTTGCACTTTCTGGTCTGTTTGTTCGTAGTTTGCAGTCCACTCTATGCAATCTAATTAGAAACATATGACCACAGCGAAAAGCCGAGAGAGAAGCGATTTGACGTCAGCTTAGCGGGGCATTAGCAAAGTTCATATGCCTAAGCATTTTTTATGAGCAAAAACTACATATACCACAAACCATTATTCGTCGGGGCCGGACAATTTAACCGGAATAATTGTGTCTTTTAAATAAGGAAATGTGGAATACAAATATACAAATGCAAGCAATTTACTTTGGAATAGACTGAAGACGTTTTAGGAGGAATAGATTTATCTAGTGGATTTCCTAAAAAATTCATTACCGCTCAAAATACTTGATTTGTTTTGTTGCTAAGAAAACTGCAGAATTTCACTGTGAGAAATATTGGTGATTATAGTTAATTTAATTGGAGTAACGTCTTCTGTTTTGTCCCCTGAAACCAATGTTGAGTGTTGTTGAGAGCGCTAGTGTAAGTGAACGCTTAAAGATCCTGGTTATATTGTCCGGGCCCGACGGATAATAGTTTGAACATATACCTAATGTGTGTACTTTGATTTTCACTGACCTGCAATTTCTAGCCCAAATTGCTCGTCTCCATATAAGGATTAGCTGATACGATGACCATGTAATGAGCTAACAACGGGAAAAACGGATAAACTTTGACATAACGAAACAACGAGCGTTAACGGGAGAGAAATAATTATGCGCTACATGGCTACCCTAAAAAGAGCGCAAAGTGCTGAATAGAGCGTGTAAATGCACGAGATGACTCATTTCGTGACATGCGCTACATAGAGGAACGAGAGTCCTAAATAAAAAAAAAAACTCGAGAAAGTGGTAGATAAGGCTTACCGACACTGAATTAGCTTAGTGACCTG